TTTTTTTTTGTCTTTTGTTTTTTTTGAGACAGGGTTTCCCTGTATTGTTTTGGAGGCTGTCCTGGAACTCACTTTGTAGACCAGGCTGTCCTCGAACTCACGGAGATCCTCCTGCCTCTGCCTACCAAGTGCTGGGATTAAAGGCGTGGGCTACCAACGCCGGGCAACTTTTTTTTTTTTTAAGATTTATTATGTATACGGTGTTCTGTCTGCATGTATCCCAGCAGGCCAGAAGAGGGCACCAGATCTCATTACGGATGGTTGTGAGCCACCATGTGGTTGAACTGAGGCCCTTTAGAAGAACAGGCAATGCTTTTAACCTCTGAACCATCTCTCCAGCCCCCAAAATAACTCTTAATCTGAGTTTTAATACAATTTTTTTGTTTTTTTGTTTGTTTTTTTCGAGACAGGGTTTCTTTGTAGCTTTGGAGGCTTTCCTGGAACTCACTCAGTAGAACAGGCAGGCCTCGAACTCACAGAGATCCATCTGTGTCTGCCTCCCAAGTGCTGGGATTGAAGGCATGCGCCACTATCACCTGGCGCCCTTTAATTTCATTTGTTGGCTAGAACTGTGTCCTGAGTGACAAGGGTGAAACACTTTCAGGTTTCCAAATTTTCTGGGTCTAGATGGACAGATTTCAGGTCTTACTTAATCTCATAAGGTCTAAGGTCTACAACTTCACAGAATTCCTGCTGTTTGTAGGCATCCAGGGTATTGTAGATGCCTACCGTCAAGCACTGCCCCAAGTTCGTCTCTATGGCCCTACCAACTTTGCACCCATCATCAACCATGTGGCTAGATTTGCAGCCCAGGCTGCACAGCAGAGGACTGCCTCGGTAAGAGCTCTGGATAGCTGTGGTGCTGAGGTGGCAAGGAAGTACTGTGTGATGGGCGCCATCTCATTAGTGGGAATGTGTACCTGGTTTGTTGGGAGGGACTGGGAAAGAGGATTTTCCTCAGTATATGAACTTGTCTCTAGCAATACTTCGTACTGTTGCTTTTGACTGACGGCGCTGTGACAGATGTGGAGGCCACATGTGAGGCTGTGGTACAAGCCTCAAAGCTGCCCATGTCTGTGATCATCGTGGGCGTGGGTGGTGCCGACTTTGAGGTCATGGAACAGCTGGATGCTGATGGTGGCCCTCTTCGTACACGCTATGGAGAAGCAGCTACCCGTGACATAGTTCAGTTTGTGCCCTATCGACGATTTCAGAATGTGAGTAGAGAAGAGTTTGCAGGGTGATGGGAGTGGGGTTGAGATCCGATAGATAAAGCCTTTTCATCAAAGTCTGGCAAGGTTGAATTTTAGTTAAGATGTAGACCCTGGGATACTTCCAGGTACTCACGGACCTTGCCTTTCTCCTCCTGACAGGCTCCACGGGAGGCACTGGCACAGACTGTACTTGCAGAAGTGCCCACTCAGCTGGTTTCCTACTTCAAAGCCCAAGGTTGGGCCCCATTGAAGGCACCTCCAGCTCCAGCCAAGGTCCCTGCACAGCCCCCCCAAGCATAGGTTCCTTGGGAGAGTAGGCTGTGCTCAGTCTATTTCCGCAGGCACCATCCTCCAGGCCATGGACCAACCCTGCACATTCTTCCCACTTTATAGTTGATACTTTGATACTTGCTTCTGCTATTGCTGCTCTTGACCTACCTGCCTGTCCCTGACACCATCTCATTCAGGAAAGACCTGTGTAAAGATCACCTCTTACGGGTTACAGGCTGGTATAGATAGCCTTACTTTGACCTCAGTCTTTGTTGACCTTGGGCTTGTTGACTGAAAGGTCCCCCTGGTCTGAAAACCCTATCCGCGCAAATTGGGTCTGTTCACTTTGAAACACAAAGTTTGAATATAAAGTGAGCGTGTGGTTGTCCCATCCTCTGGGTGGAGCTAAGCTGGGAACATGGACAAAATGGAAGGTGCTATGCCTCATAAGAGGTGGCAAAGTTGAGAGATTGACACATTTCAGTGTAGAGTGAGGACTATTCGACCTCTAGGCCTAACTGTGTTCCACTGTTTTTTGGGGGAACGCTTGTGTAGCTTAGGCTGGCCTGTAATTTGCCACCCTGCCTCAACTTCACAGATGCTGGAATTACAGGCTTGTGCTGAGATGTCATGTAGCTCAGGCTGTTTTTAGTCTACAAAAACAAACCAAAGGGGAAAAATGTTTCAAATAACAATATCATATAAAAATAGATAATGGGCTGGGCAGGTGGTGCACACCTTTAATCACAGCACTTGGGAGGCAGAGGCCAACCTAGTCTACAAATCAATTTCCAGGACTGTTACACAGAGAAAGGGGGTTGTGGGGGGTGGGGGAGGTGAGGAATAGATAATGGAAATAAACATCGGTAGCTCATGGCTATAATCCCAACACATGGAAGTCTAGGGTAGGAGGATTGCTGTGAGTGTGATGTGGACTTAAATTATACTGTGAGCTTCAGATCAGACAACTTCAAAGGGGTCACATATGCTATCTGTATCTGGTTTGCATTTATTTCGGATGCCTTATCAAACACCAGAATTTAGGTTTGTTTTGTTCTGCATATACACGTTTGAGGAACTGGCTTCTACATGTGGGAATGATAGACCACAGAGGGCATTTAAAACTTTAGCAGGTATTACAGGTTACCTTCTGTAGAAAGTCATAGTCCCACTCATTCCACTTGTTAGCCCATGGTTACCTTCCCCACCCAGATCTCATTTTCATTTGATTTCCGTACTAGGAATCGTTTCATACATTGACTTCATTCTCAGTAGTCTGTTCATGGCTATATGTGTCAAGAGTCTTCATTCTGCTGTTCTTTTCAATATGTTCAAAGTATTTTTTCCCTTAGCTGTTACAGTTTCATATGTTTTTATACGAAATATGAAAATTTTATTTTTATATATGCTAATCTGCTTATAAAAATGTGTCCATATATCAATGATAATAAATACTCCCTCGGTGGCTGCATTTGTTTTGTTTTACGTTTGGTGCTGGGAGTTGTGCCTAGGCCCCAGGCATGCCTGTGTCAGGCTCTACCACTTAGCTCATCTTTGACATATACTTAGGGGCCTCTAGAGTTCAAGGACATTTTCCAATACCATTTGAGGATAGCCTGGACTACATAAGACGCTGTTTCAAAAAACTTAGAGGGCCTTGTGTGGTTGCTAACTGGATTAAGTGCTTGCTGTACAAGTTTAACAACTTGAATTCTACTTATAGGCGGAAGGAGAAAATTAACTCCACAAAGTTGTCTTCTGACCTCCACAATAACAATGGTGTGCAGACTCATCATACATGTATGAAAAGTATGAACAGAAGCTGCATGAGGTGGTTCATGTCTGCAGTCTTAGCACTGGAGTGCCTGAGGCAGGAGTAGCCTTGAGCTTTATGCTAACCTGGACATAGTGAGTTCTAGGCTAGCCTTAGATGGGGGAAATGTATGAAAAGTAGGATTTTGATTCCTCTGGCCCCTGTGTTCATACTGAGAACTGAAACCAGGGCCATGTGGTCTTGCAGACTAGGCAAACTGATGTTCTGTCCACTCTATCAATCCACCTGCCCTTGCCTCTGCCGGGTCTTCTTATTCCTTCTTCTTCTTTTTTTTTTTGAGACAAGGTCTTTGTAGCACTGACTTTCTTGGCCTCAAACTCATAAAAATCCTACCTCTGCCTCCTGAGTGCTGGAATTAAAAGCATCTGGGCACTGCCATATCCAGCCCTTAGTTCTATTTCTAACCTTAGTTTTAATTTGTTCCTACTACATTTATTTTGTATGTGCACATGTATGTACCATGGTACACATGGAGGTCAAAATACAACCTGTGAGATTTGGCTATCTATTGTATGGGCAAGCCCCCTTTAACTCACTTGACTCATCTTAATGACCCTTAATTATTTTTATTTTATTTTTTGTGTGTAAGTGCCACAGCATGTGGGGGGGGGGGGGGTGGGCAAAGGACATCTCTGGAGTTGGTTCTCATCTTCCACTATGTGGAACCCAAGGATTAAATCCCAGTTGTCAGGCTTGGTGGCCTTTCCCTGTTGAGACATCTCACTTCCCCCTAACCTTACCTTTTGTTGTTAAATTTTTATGTGTTTGGGTGTTCTGCCTGCTTGACTATTCCACATGTGTGCCTAGTGCCTGAGAAGGCTGGAAGAGGGCATTAGATTCCCTAGAACTGGAGTTACAGGTGGTTGTGAGCTGCCAATGGGTGCTGGGAACTGAACTTAGGTCCTCTGGAAGAGCAGCCAGTGCTCTTAACACTGAGCCATCTCTCCAGCCCCCAATCCTTAGGTTTTGAGAATATTTGGTGTAGGTACTTTTGTTTTCAAATGACAAAATACTATCACCTAATTTAAATAGGTGGACAAGAGCTCTGCCTCACATATCAGCAGGAAGGATCCCAACATGCAAGATAAATAATGCTTTTCTTTGCTGTGTCAGGCTCTTTCCCACCCCGGGAACTCTGCTCGTTTGCCCTTGCCTCCCCCACCCCCGTTCTTTCCACCATCACAGGGAAGATTCCTAGATGACTACCTAAGCTCCGAGGAATGAGCAACCGCATGACGGCTACCAAGCCTAGATTTGACCTAGATTTCCTAGAAGTTTCCATATCTTAGCTTTTCACTGTTTGCCAGAGGAGCGTTCCCCTCTATCTGTACGGATGTTTCCTGGGATTTGGGGTAGGGATTTGCAAATAAGTATGGCTTCAGCTGCCTGATAGTTCTCCAGTTGAAGAGGAAGGCCCCGTTCTTGTGTTACTTTTCACTAGTATGAGTGGAGCAAGTTGAAGCTGCATCGTGTATGATATAGAACGTCCACAACACTGTCTCTTGCATATGGTAGACACTGTAAACATCAACTTTAGCTACTATGTGACTCTGGACTTTTCCAGGAAAAGAGGATGTGCTGAAGGGTATATTCTGCCATACTGACCTGCCATAGGCAGCCAGAGCTTTCCCCAAAAGGTGACCTCCCAACTCTGAAGCAGTTTTCTTTAACACAAATCTCAATTCTGCTTCAACCATCAGCATTTTTAATAGGGTCCCCCAGCGACCCCTGTGGCATTGTCCTCTGCCCACTCTGAGATCCGTACACCGTGAGCACGGACTCGATATAAGCACGTGAAACGCGGATGGCCCCAGTTACTTAGAACTTGAATCTTCACCTTGGGGAAGGCTGATGGAGGGTCATTCTGGGGAGACAAATGGATGATGCCAACAGCTGCTCCAAGACTGTCCTCCCCCATCGATGCTCACTGTCCCCCTCCCCGTGTTAGCACACCCCCCTACAGGCAAACACACCTGTAGGTGGAAGGTCTGAATTTCAGATTTCTGCACATCGAAGATGAATTTTCCCAAGAATACTTCAGTCTCATCATCAACTTGGAGCCCCTGGAGGGTGAAGAGTGCATGGAGGAGCCGTGAGGCACAGAGGAAGTCCTTCTACATGCTCAACAGCTACATGCGCCCTGGTTTACATTCTACTGTAGGATGTGCATTGTGGAGTGCAGGCCTGAGGAAACCAGCAAGTCAGGACATCCTAGTCCCAGGGATGTTAAGCTTACAACCTGAAGCAGCCCGTGAGTATGTGCAGCTTACAGATGAACAAACAATGACAAATACTGGCAATGGTTCTCACCACTGCCTAGGGGTTTCTAAAAATTCCCCGCCTCCTGGCCTCAGCCCCACTTACAAAGACTGCAAAGTCCCGGGGTGCACTGCTGGCTCCTCCAGTGTGTGCCACGGTGGGTGGAGGGTGCTGCAGGGTGATGTCGCTTAACTGCACGTGACCTGGTAGTCGGATCACCACCTGACCTTGATCACCTTCAAAAGCCCAGCAGTTTCCAGGGAACACATCTGGCTGCAGGGGTTTGTGCAGCCCATCAGAACATAGGACAAACCCAAGACCAGCAGTACTGAGGAATGGAGGGCGGCCTGAGCTAAGTAACAAGACCCTGCCCCAGCTGCTGCTCAGCCCAGAGGTCTGCCTTCTCCCCCTGGTTGTTGCCTAGCCGTGTGAGGCAATGCTGAGTCTCCAGGACTTACAGTTCTCTTCAGCTTAACTTCATCTTTGACTTGGCAGGAGCCTTCCCACACCATTCCAGACCCTGCCTCCAGGGGGCACCTCCTGATGACAAACTGACCTCAACTCCAGTCCTGCCTCCACCAAGTTGATTCTTGCCCTTACCCTGGCTCTTGCCCATGGGCACCATCCCCAGGCACCCTGGCTTCAGGCCCACCTCCAGTATGACTGAGGGTGGGCGTGCATAGTTCCAGAAGCTCAGGCGATTCCAGAAGTAGGCAGTGTTGGTATCCTCATAGTCACTGGATGTCTTCTCCAGGTCGATGGAGGCTCCTAGAACGGGCAGAAAGCACTTTCAGGGGCTCCTAGGCTTTCTCATCAACGCAGTTGTCTATGACCTGTCTATGTCTCTTCCCACATATTTGTGTCTTACCCACAGAGCTCAGAGCATAGTCGGGTTTTCGCACAAAATCCTCATTCAGCCTCTGGAACACGAGCTTGGCCACTCTCTAAAGAGGCAGAAGGTGGGCCAGGAGGGTTGCAGGATGGTTTACAGTGGGCCTGCCTCTAAGTAACTCAGACTCAGAGATAGGACCTTGAGGGCCTTGAGAAAGAGTCCCCACTGTGGGTATCTGGGGTGAAGATTCGACTCAGGACCCAGGCTGTGGTCGTTCCAAAGCAGCCTTGATTGAATGCAGATGGGACTCCTATACCCACCGTCACCCCAGTGCAGGGACCCGCCCCACCCCAGTGCAGGGACCCACTCCACCCCAGTGCAGGGACGCACCTCACTGTGAGCTGCACGAACGCTGGACACCTCCTTGTTGAGTTTATTCAGTTCTGTCTGGAGCTGCTGCAGCTGCTGGCTCTGGGAGTGCACACGCTGGTGATATTGGCTGCAGGGGGGAGGTAGGGAGGTAGGCACCTTGTGGTTAGCTAGCTGCCCCTGTGCACACCCCTGGAAGAAGTCCCCCCAGATAGATTTCAGAGCTGCCCACTTCCCACCCTGGCTGCCCTTTCACCTCAGAGTCAGCATCTCCTTAGGTTCCTGTTGAAGGGACAAAGAGGGACAAATAAGCAACCTTCTCCGTAGTCAGCCAGGCGCGGCTACACTCAAGGGGCCTCCCTCTTGAGAATTACTCCCGTTTCCCTCCCATTCTCGGTTGGCCTCTGGATATTATGCTCAATGCCTTCTGTACTGCCCCCTCCCAGCAGCCCAGCGATGCCCCACCCACCCACACAACCTCCACCCGACCTGGGGGCACAGTCTCCCCAACTCACATTCTCCAAAGGGGGGACCAGGTACAGGAGACCCCACCAGAGTGCTGGAGAAAGAGAAGGGGCATCCTCTGGTGTAAGGGGACCGGAAGGAAAGCAAGGGGGTTGGGGTGATGGCTGGGGCTGCAGAAGGACTGTGAGAGACCAAGCAGGGGTCATGAGAGTGAGCTGAGGGCCACGAGGACATGCGAGCTGGACTGGGCTCCTCACCTGCCAGAAAGACGCTCAGGAGCGACACAGCAGTAAACAGGAAGCGGATGGAGCAGACCTCCCTGAGAAACCGGGACAGAAGCAGATGCTCTGAGGCCCTAACCCACTAGCCTCTACCCCAGGGTCCTAGAGCCAGTTCCCGAGAATTCGACTCAACCAGGCATGAATCAGCTCAAGCCTTGGTGGGGTCCAGCCCCGCTGCCCTTCCCTGAGCCATCCCTACCCCTTCTCCCTCTGACCTGTACACACTGACAAGCACGTCTCCTACCACCGATAACAATACGGTCAGCACCTGAAAAAGGAGGCCTGGGACGGGGACAGGAGAAGCCGCTCAGAGAGGGCGAGCTATGAGGGTGAGGTGGTGCAGATTCAGAAAGGCTCGGCTGGGGGTGGGGGGTGAGGGCCGGGGGCTCAGGAGGGCGAGGGTGGCCTGGGAAACTGAGCTGAGGCTGGACACTCAGACCCGGGCTCGGGCAGAACTGGGGTTCCGAGTACCGAGGTCAGAGGGGATAGGGTTGGATTCTCGGACCCCGGCTCGGGAAGGAGAACTGGGGTTCTGGGTGCCAGGTCAGAGGGGATCGGGTTGGTCTGGCTCGTACTCAGGAAGCTCTTGGACACCGGCGCCGGAGGCATGTCCTGTCTCAGATCCAGGTTCGGAATACGGTTGAGCTGCTCCTCCAAGACTGAGGAAGATCCACATGGTTCTGTGGGAGCCCAGGGCTCCATTGAGGTCCTGTGCACCACAGACCCGCACTTCCCCCGGGGCCCGGGCGCAGGCTCCTGAGCTTAGTGCTAAAAAACTGGGCAGGCCTTGGACCTGCCGCACACCTATGCCACGCTCCCTGCGCACCCCTAGATCCGGGGCGGAAGAGCCTCAGTCGGCAGAAGAACTCGCCCCAGCCTGAGTCCGGGTGCAGCCGGGCCCGGGTCCAGGCTGCCACTCACGCCGGCGCTTTGGCGCCTCCTCCGCCCCCTCCCGGGACGCTCGTGGCACTGTGTAGCCTCAGGGACTCGTTTGAGTACGGCCCCTCAGGCACCAGGTCGGAACTGCACCCAGGTCCGCGCCGGGCCCCGCCCCGCCCCACGCGCCCGCCCCGCCCTCTCGCCCCCAGGCTCGACCCCGCCCGCACCCGAGGACCCGCCCCTCACGGTTGCCGCGCCACAGGCGGTCTGGCCATTGTGGCTCCGAGGCGCAGGCTTCGGCCGAGAGCTTCCTGCCCGTGTGTGTCCTCCGTGCACTCCTGGACTTAAGTCGGGCTCACCACAGCTCGAGCCCCGGGCCCTTCTGCCCTCGGCCTGCTCGAGCTCCGGCCCAGGGGACTCGCGCCCATTGCTGTCCCCCGAAGTCACGCTGTGGGAACTATTGCTGTTCTCGCTGTAGAAGTGGGGTGCGTGATTGTGAGAGGATGTGGGCGAGCCTGGGCGTTGGCCCCGCTGCATCCTGACCTGGGGCTGTCCCCCCGGGAAGCCGAAGTCCCCGCAGCCAAAGCCCTCGGCCCTCCCTCAGCTGCCGCGCGCCGCCGGGTCGGACCCTGCGTGAACCCCGGGCGGCGCGGCCGACTCAGCCCTGGAGTCTGCGACCTGCTCGCTACTGCCGTCACAGAGGAGCGGTGTCACAGAACCGCCTGACGTCACTGGAGCCAAGGGGACTCCTATCTATGGCCTCGTGTGCGTGTGTGTCCAGACGTTGATGTTTGCTGTCTTCCGTCGCTCTCCACCTTAGTTTTTGAGATTCTGAACCTGGGGCTCCCCGGTTTATTTTTAAGCTAGTGCCTGGAAGACCCCATGGTTCCTCTTGTCTCTGCTCTCCCAGAGCTTTTGATTTCAGGCATGTGTCATAGCACCCTTCATTTATGTTGGTTCTGGGGATAACAACTCAGGTCCTCACGATTGGGCAGCAAGCAATTTATCCACTGAGCTATATGGATTAAAAAAAAAAAGTCCTAGGGATCCTGCCCCGTCCCCCGCCCCAGAGTTGGGATTACAGTCCCTGGCCTCGATTTTTATTTCACTGCTGAGTCTGCACTCAGGCTTCCAGACCAAGCACTTCATCAACTGCCATCCCCCCAATCCCTTATGTATTTTGGACATGAGGGCTTGCTGCCCCGGTACTGGCTATGTACCCAAGATGATCCCAAGTCAGGATAATACTCCTGACTCAGTCTCCCAAGTGATTGAATTACAGGCATTTCATTATGTTAACTTGTGAGGCTTTGGGGATTGGGGTTCGAGACAAAGTTTCTCTGTGTAACCCTGGTTATCCTTGATCTGTGTAGTCTAGGACTCAGAGTTCCACCTGCCTCTGCCTCTAGTGCTGGGATTAAAAGCATGTGCCACCAACTGCAGGCAAGAATGGAGATTTTTGTTTGTTTTTGTTAGTTTCTGTATCCTCCAGCACCTAGATAGGTTGCCGGGGTCCAGCCTGTATCAGTCCTAGATGCGGGAGCCATCTATTCTGGACTGATGTCTTTGGGGCTGTGCTTGGAACCAGCCGAACAGCCCTGGGTCTGACCCTGAGTGGGGAGTGTGGATCAGGGAAGTCCTAGCTACCCAAAGGCATTAAGGATGAGGCAGAGACATCTTGTCATTTCAGGAGCGCTCTCAGTCCATACTGGAGACCATGGTTTATTCAAGCATCCTCTTAAATAGCTTTCCAAGAGCAGAGGTACTGGCAGAAGACATCTATTATCATGTATAGAGCTGATATCAAATATTTCCTTTAATCCTTGAGATACCCCTAAAACGGCAAGTCCTCACTAGCCTTCTGGCAAATCCCGCTTGTCCCCAGGCATGACTCTCTAGTTCTGAGTATCCCAAGTCTTTTGTATATAAGCTAGAAACCTGCCGGGCGGTGGTGGCGCACACCTTTAATCCCAGCACTCGGGAGGCAGAGGCAGGCGGATCTCTGTGAGTTCGAGGCTGGGCTGGACTGATAGCCTCCGAAACAATACGGAGAAACCCTGTCTCGTAAGAACCAAAAACAAAAAACAAAAAAACTAGAAACCATTCTCCACTGTGGCCAGGCCATCCAGAGGTAACATCTAAAATACAATAGGAGATTCGAGCTCCTGGAATTGAGCTGAGCCCAAATCATATTCGGGGCCCTGACAATAGGTCTAGGGTATTTAGGGATACTTAGTAAATATTAAGAAGGAGCAGAGCATTGTTCAATACATTAAAAAATTAATTTGTTGCCGGGCCTTGGTGGCACACGCCTTTAATCCCAGGACTCGGGGGGCTGAGATAGGCAGGCGGATCTCTGTGAGTTCGAGGCCAGCCTGGTCTACAGAGCGAGTTCCAAGACAGCCTCCAAAGCAATACAGAGAAACCCGGTCTCTAAAAATAAAAACAAAAACAAAAAAATATTAATTTGTTTTAATCACCCCTCTTTATTTTTAAAACAAAGTCTTATTATGCAGCCAAAGCTGGTCTGGTGCTCAGATCTGCCAGTCCCAAGCACTGGGGTAAAGGCATGACACTACACTTCCCTCTCTCTCTCTCTCTCTCTCTCTCTCTCTCTCTCTCTCTCTCTCTCTCTCTCTCTCTCTCTCTCTCTATATATGTAGATCAGAGGACAACTGGTGGGAACCAGGAATCAAATTCAATTCTTCAGCCTTGGCAGCAAGTGCCTTTACCCACTGAGCCATCTTGCTGTCCTAGAAGGCACATTTTAAACAACTTCATGCTCAATACTAATTAAAGTCCTCACTAGGAAAAGTGATGGAGTGCAACCCTTAAGATTTATACAAGGGGCCGGGCAGTGGTGGTGCACGCCTTTAATCCCAGCACTCGGGAGGCAGAGGCAGGAGGATCTCTATGAGTTCGAGGCCAGGCTGGACCGACAGCCTCCAAACAATACAGGGAAACCCTGTCTCGTAAAACCAAAAAAAAAAAAAAAAAAAGATTTATACAAGGGATTCAACAGTTCCCTGAGACCATGTTGCATGACATCTGGAAATCCTGACCCAGCATGGTGGTAGCACAGGACTTTAATCCTAGCACTATGAAGGTAGAAGCAGGAGAATCTCTGACTCCTGAGTTCGAGGACAACCTGGTCTACATAAGTAGTCTCAGGATAGCCAGGGCTATATAGTGATATCTCGTGTCAAAAAACACACCAAAAAACAATTCCAAAATCACGCACACCAGTCCACTATATTTTTTTCCACATTGCATCTTATTTAGAATGTTAACCAGCTTGCACAAGTAGCAGTTCTTAAGGGTTTGAGGAACAGAGATGTCTGTTATGTTAAGCTGTGTTCCAGCCCAAAGGAGATGCTTATACCAGGCTCTAGAGAGGTGACATTAATGTGACATTAGATTCCACAGAGCCCTGGAGGAAAGAGAGTAGAAAGACCAAGAATTCTCATCTCAGTCAGGCAGTCCCCATCTGACCCTGCCCTGTACCCAGTTTGAGAACTTTTTTGGGTTTCAGTTTCTTTAACAGAGGGAGGAAAAGCCCTTCCTCAGCATCTAAGTACTGTGACATCTAACCTGGATCTTAAAAAGAGACAACCTTGGCGGGGCCTTGGTGGCTCACACCTTTAATCCCAGCACTCGGCAGGCAGAGGCAAGCAGATCTCTGAGTTCCAGGCCAGCTGGTCTACAGAGCGAGTTCCAGGACAGCCTCCAAAACAATACAGAGAAACTCTGTCTCGAAAAACCAAAAAAAAAAAAAAAAAGAGAGAGAGAGAGAGAGAGAGAGACACCCTGAGCAACAATACAAGAGGTTTTTTGTGCCTGACTGGAGTTTTTGGTAGTCTTTGGATCTTGAGAAGCATTATACCCCTGTGGCATAAATAACTCTCTCTCTCTCAATTCTTTTTTTTTTTTTTTTGGTATTTACGAGACAGGGTTTCTCTGTATTGTTTTGGAGGCTGTCGTCTCAATTCATTTTTGAGACAGGGTCTCAATTAGTAGCCTAGAATTTGCTATGTAGACCAGGCCAGCCTCAAACTAACAGAGATCCGCCTGCCTCTGCCTCCCATGTGCTGGGATTAAAGGCTTGCGCCACCACCGCCTGGCTTGGCCAAAGCTTGTATCTTGTGGTGCAAATTCAAAGTAGAGCAAACAAACTGTAAATGGTGTGTTTAAACTTCCAAAGCTTGCCTTCAGTGACATACTTCTTCTAATTAGGCCACACCTCCTAAACCTCCCCAAACAGTGCCATCAACTGGGCACCAAGTGTTTAAAGCTGGAGAATGGGGAATCTTTCTAAGCTATGGCCATTGCCCTAGGTTTCCTCCCAGAATGTGAAGTTAAGAATCTATTGCTGAAAACACTATTTTCTTTGGACACAGAACACGGAAGAATTGAGCTGTAGCTTTTCCAGAAGGCTCCTTCCTAAGGCCTAGTTCTCATGGTACCACAATTGTTTTGTTTTTTGTTTGTTTGTTTTAATATAGGATTTCTCTGTGGCTTTGGAGGCTGTCCTGGAACTAGCTATTGTAGACCAGGCTGGCCTCGAACTCACAGAGATCCGCCTGCCTCTGCCTCCCAAGTACTGGGATTAAAGGCGTGGGCCACCACTGCCCAGCTAGGGAAGCTTCTTTTTGTGGCACGCAGAGGCTACCACAGAGATCCACAGCTGGCCAAAACTCAGAGAAGTGATAATGTACTGTCAACCCCCATTGGTATATCTGTGTAGGGGACACAGAGGTCCTTGTGCTCACAGATGAGCACTAAGGGAACCAGGCATGTTAAGCGCACAGTGTTGTCTCTTCAAAGGAAGAGATGTATACCCATTTTCCATCCAGAAGGCTGGGAGTGGCGGTGATTTATAACCTGGTGACCTCTGTGCTCTCTGTGTGGCCAGGTCTCACCCGAGTACCCCACATGCTTATGTTTGTCTCAGTCATCCTCCCTAGACCCTCATCTTGAGCATCGTTTCTCAGTCAATAGAACCCATCTCTATGGAAGAGGTCACATGTACTTTACAAAGAGTTTTGATGAAGTCAAGCCCAAAGTTTTGTGATATGCATGGAACTGAGTTAGCTATCACCAGGAATCTTTTTCTGAAATGTGCTGTGCTTAAATAGGTCTAAAATAAAATGCCCCATGTCAGACTCTAGAGGTTTGTAAGAGTCAGAGATGCTTCATCCAAGAAAGTTTAACAATACGGTCGCCTCAACAAGGTCTTCATAATAACACAAGGCATGCCAACAGGCATGAGGAGACTTTCGTAAGGCACCACCTCTAGATGAGCTACTGGCAAACAGTGGCTGCTGAGAGAAGGGGTGTCAGTTTTCTCCAGAGATAAACAGATTGACAGGTTATCCCAAGGGGTCATCTCTAAGCATACGTAGGTAACAGCAACACTAAACAGGCTCAGCAGAGAGAGAGAGAGAGAGAGAGAGAGAGAGAGAGAGAGAGAGAGAGAGAGAGTGTGTGTGTGTGTGCACATGCAATGGTAACTATAGAAGAGATCATGAGTGTGAGAGGGAGTGATGGGGCATAGAAGGAGTTGGAGGGGGATGGGTGTTGGAAATGATATAAATACCACATATGAATTCTCAAAAACATTACGTTAAAAAGCAACCTTTCTTGTCAAGTATGGAGTTTTGTTCCTGTTGTTTTGTTTTTGT